TCAGGTCCCTTCCGACCCTAGAAACTATGAAACTATGCTAGCACTTTATTCTGGAAGAGCAGCAGTTCTCCCAGTAGAAGTGCCTGTATGCAATGGCCCTTGTGCCCTGTAATAATTTTGTACTCTGGTCACTACAAAACTTTTTTGCGCAGTTCTGCCAGCAGGCACCAACAGCTACAGGGAAGCTACCAGTGTACAGTGTACATGTACACTGATGTGGCTACTGGTGGCTCCATTACAGCAACTTTGCCAGCAGGAAGGCACCAGTTGAGAGCCCAGGCACATCTACACATGTCTTCTGTCAGCTTCCAGGTGGTGGCAGAATCCTCTCACTCAGGTAGTAAATGAAAGAAGGGGTTCTATTGCTGTAGTGGAGCTGTTAATGTGGATCAGCGTTTTTTAGACTCAAGGCACCCCTCAGCAAATGCCACCTCTTAGTTTTCACTAGGTGTTTGACTATGGAGAAATAATAATAATGCTAATGTTGCATGACACCCTGCAACACCCTTAAAAGGATCTCATGGCACCCTGGTAGAGAATCATTGGTGTAGATTCACTCCCAGTTCTTCTGATGGGTTCCTGCCAGTAAAGAGACCTATGGTTATTCCCTTTTATTGGCTCATGCCGTCTTCATCCAATGGTCTGTGACAATCTACTTATCTACAATACCAAATTATGGCAATGCTACTGCTGCTTCATCCTAAGGTGAACTTCTTAAACATGGTAACGTTTTTTTTTCCAGATATTGATGAATGTGCTTTACCTACTGGAGGGCACATCTGTTCCTATCGATGTGTTAATGTTCCTGGGAGCTTTCAGTGCACCTGCCCCTCTACTGGGTACAGATTGGCACCTAATGCACGAAACTGCCAAGGTATGTTTCATAATTGTGTAGAAATATCTGGCTAGATCATCATATTGCTTGGAACCTAATTTGAGATTTACTGTTTGAGACCTGCATGTGCTTAATCTTTTTATCTCTTCCATTTGACAGATATCGATGAATGTGCTGCAGAAACACACAATTGCTCATTCAATGAGACCTGCTTTAACATTCAGGGTGGTTTTCGTTGTCTCTCTTTGCAGTGTCCAGAAAACTATCGCAAATCAGGAGATACGTAAGTACTTTTTGTTTCCTTGAAGAACTACTTGACAGGCACATGTCCTCCCTGACCTTAAGGCAATGTTGATTAGATGGTTGGTGGATCCTGGCAATGATCTGCCCATGCACTTGTACACATGCACAAAAAGAAATGGGCAAAGCAGGATCTTCGCTTATGTATTAGACCTATCTTTTAAGACAAGCTATATTTATCACACCAAGTGTAGAGGCAGAGAGAGTCTCACATCAATCATTTTTGAATGCCCAGAATGATTATACCAGGCTAGGCTTGTGGTGGCCAGATAGTTGATAAAAGAATATTTAGTTTCAGTGCTCCAACTCAGGTGCTGCATCTACGTTAGATTCTGACTGCGCAGTTGTTACTGCACTTGCATACACAAGTACTAAATGACTGCGCAGTAACTGGTTACTACTGTGCAGTAGTGTCACGTTACGCTTTGTGCCATACGATACTACTGCACAGTAGTAACAAGTTACTGCACAGTCAGCATCTTGTGTAGATGTGGCCAGGAGATCCTTTCTGTCCCTAAGAATGACTCAATCAACTCTTTTACAAGCTTTTGTAGTCAAGAGAAAGGAACATTTAGTTTTCAGCTCCTTAATGCATGATCTGTACTAAAGATGTGCAAAATTGTCCACCATTGTTTATATCATTTGAGTTCCATGACTTTTAAAAAGCTTAGGAGCCCTATTGCAGATAGCTTGTTGGCAGCTGCTGGCTCTTGTCATGTTACCCTTCTCAGAGAAGATATAATCAGCATAGGGCCTAAAATACCAGGTCCACCAGCAACTCATTTACAGGGAGTGAAATAGTGCTAGTAATGGGGAGAAATCTTTGCTTATATCTGCTTCAGAACCAGACTCACTTTTTCCCCTTTAACTGATTTGTCAGCCCAACGTTTACGAGAGTTTATCTGAAGAGTGTGTGGCATCTCTAGAACTTTTCCAAGTATATCTGCTCTGGCAAGTTTAAATTGTCAGCTAGAGAATAAAGCGGACATGCTACAGTGCTCATAAATCTGTTATCCACTTACCCAATCAATGTGAAGATGTATTCCTATACACACATGATCTCAGATAAGATTAAGCACTCTTTATCCCATCTGTATAATGGAGCTATCTGCAAGGAGTAATTAATTAATATTTGCACTGAAGTCTGAAGAAATAAAATGCAATAAAAAAGACATGTCAGGTGATTTTTGTCATGATTGGATTGTTGTTGAGGGAATTTCACAGAATTAAAACGTTTATAAAATAGACATTGCTAATATGCTTTGACGTGTCATCAGTAATTAAATTCAAATAGCACTTGTCAAATAATAAAAAGCTGTGATACAGATACTTAGCTACTTTTTAGTTTGCTCATTCATTTATATCCTGAGGTGTTCATTATGAAAATGTAGATTGTAAAAATACCATAAAATTGCTCATTATATCCTTGCTTAGGATACATTTCCTTCCCTGAGGCTTAATTTTGTCTTTATCTGCTAAGATAACAAGATAGTAGAAAGTATTGAATAGGGAAGGATAATCCACTTGAACCAATATGCATCATTGCCAGTGCAGCAAGCCACTGAATGGGTGGAACAAGGAAGATAGAGCTCTTTGTTTACCTCCTCTCAAACCTTTTTATAGGCCTGCTGGAGTTTGGCCCTTTAGTAATGAAAAGTGGCATGAGAATGTTCTCTCCATTGTGCAAATTAGATTCTTAAGAACCCTTCTTTTTCGGACTAGCCTCTAATCTTAGTGCTTTTTTCCAGGAGTATTCAAGAGTTGCTGCAACTTCACCAACTGAATTTACCTTGCCAAATACTTTTCATGTTTCTAAACTATGTAAGAATTAAGCTGTCTGTATGTGACACAAGTCAAACATCTGTTATCACTGAGCCAAAAAAATATCAGAAAAGATTTTATAGATTTCATAGACATTGGGGCTAGAAGGGACCTCGGAAGATCGAGTCCAGCCCCACACCTGAAAGGCAGGAAGTCAGCTGAGGTCATAGGATCCCAGCAAGATAAGCATCCAATTTACTCTTGAACATGTTCAATGTACGTGCTTCAACCACCTCCGATGGCAGGCTGTTCCAGACCTTTGGGGCTCGGACAGTAAAGAAATTCTTCCTTATGTCCAGCCTGAAACGGTCTTGCAGGAGTTTATAATTGTTCAACCTCGTCATCCCTTGGGGCGCTCTGGTGAACAAACGTTCCCCCAGATACTGGTGATCACCCAATAAACTTGTAGGTGGCCACCAGATCACCCCTGAGCCTGTGCTTTTCCAGGCTAAAGAGCCCCATGGCTCTCAGTCTGTTGTCATAAGGTCTGTTTTCTTGACCTCTGATCATGCGTGTGGCTCTTCTCTGGACATAGTTCTGGCTATGTATCAGAAATCTATGCTAGATCAAGGTAGAACTTGGAAATATTCTTATAGTTGGTGCCAGATGTTTATTAATAAGGTTGCCTGTTACTTCTCAGTTTTTAATTGCATACAACTTTCATCTATGTGATGGAACCACTAGCCCAGAGGCTCAGGCAAGATCCCAGGATCAGTGGAGTGCAGATCCCTAGGGGAAGTGGGACAGATGTGGAAGTCCTGGCCTACATGGATGACCTTAACATCCTGTGCAGGGACAAGGACCTAGTGGAAAGAGTGCTGTACCATACCTAGGTATATGGTGTGGCAGCAGGGGCTAAGCTCAATGTGGACAAGAGCTCCTGCCTGGTACTGGGCAAGCTAGGAGACCTGCGGGGTGGGTCTCCCTCTCCCATAAAGGGGTAAAGATCCTTGGGGTGGAGTTCAACCCAGAGCTGAAAAGACAGAAGCATGGGAGAAGACTAAGCTAAAGTCAAACAGAAACTGGGACTGTGGAACATGTGTTGCCTGTTAATGGGGGATGCATGGAACTCCTGAGAGTGGTGCTGCTACCGGTACACTGCACTGGTCTTCCTCCATTATGGCAGACTGCCTATGACTGAGGCTGTGTAGAAGGAGATAGGAGATGGAATGGAATGGAAAGCAGGAACAGCAAACAGCTCAGACATGGAGGTAGGAGTGGGGAAGAAAAAGACGCCCTAGAGACAGCAGAAGTGGAGATGGAGCAAGAGAGAGAGCCAGAGAGACAGCCTGGGAAAAGAAATAAAATGCAGGGGCTGATGACTAAGAAGAAAAGCCTGATAATGAGGGAGGTGATTCAGAGGAAGAGCCAGAGAACAGTTTCCTGCTGTTAACACGTCTGGGCTCCAGCCCAGAGTGGAGATCAAAAGGTGGGAAGCAGTGGGGAAGCAGTAATATGCAAGCCTTCCTAAATGCGAGAATGATCCAGCAGCTTGCAAAAGCTACCAGAATGCAAGTGAGGAAGTGGGAAGATTCAACCACTTTGAGCAGTAGCACAGATGAAAGATACAGGTGCACTCAGCAAAAAGCAAGCATTGATGAACCTTAAAAGGAGAAGTGCATTCATTGTAAAACATGCACAAACAGCATTGACAATAGTTTTGCTTAACATCAGGAGTATCTTAACAAGGAAAAGATGAGATTCAACCACTGTTGAACCAATTAAGGCAGATACACTCTGCCAACAAGAATGTGGTATATCAAGTGAGAGGGATAATAAATACTCTGAGAAAAGTGATCTGGAAGTTTCAGTCCCTGTGGTATGAGTCCATATGGTATGAGTCACCTTTGAGAAAAGGTGGAGATGGAGAACATCCTGGTGGAGGGGCAAATGGGGACACAGCAACAGGGGTAGCAATATTATTCAAGAACCCAGAGCAGAAAGCAAAGAAGCTAAGAAGAAGTCATCAGTGGCCAATTGCAAAAATGATACTAATAGGGGAACAGAATTAGAAATTTCCAGTGTATGTGCACCACCAGAGAGGGAAGGAAGGAATGTATTGTTTAAAAAACTAGCAGTTTACATGGTTGAAGAGAGACCACTCTTCATAATAGTGAGAGATTTCAATTGTATAATTGAAGTGGATGACAGAACAGGAGAAGAAAGAAATGGAGTTTTAGAGAGCTCATCCATACTGTTGACCAATATAATAAAAGAAGAGTTGCTAAGATATGTGTGAGCAGGGGAGATGGTTTTCACTAGAACAGATTCCAGTGGAAAGAAACAATCAAGAATTAACTTTTTAGTTGTATCAAAAGAAATAGGCATAAGGAAGAAAGAAACTACATGTGGCCTTTAGTGATTACCACATGCTGAAGGTGGAAGTGAGTTTTAGTAAGAGCCCCATGAGAGTGAAGGGACTGCGGAAGTTAAATGTGTGGTTGTTACAAGATGAAGAGATATGTCAAGTGTACATAAGACAGTATGAGGGATGGCAAACACTGAAGAAATATTTTAGGAGTACCAGAAAATGGTGGATGATTGTGAAGAACAGAATGGGAGAATTTTTCAGGAAGGAAGACTGAAGATGCATGGGGAAAAGAAACAAAGAGCTAAGAGAGCTGCAAAGAAAGAGACAGGAGTTGTTAAAGAAAGGAAGACAGGTACAAGAAGAGCTAGAAGGAACAAGGTAAGAGTTAGAAACCTGGTTTAAATGAAAGTGTGGGAGAAAATGTTCTCAGCACAAGCACTCTGGGTGGGAGAAAACAAAGAGAGGTCCCGATACTGTTTGGCCAGAATGAAGGCAGCAAGAGGAGAGCTTAAACCAGTACAGGACAAAGGTGGTGCCTGGGTGGAAAAGCAGGAGGAAGTGTTGGAAGCAACAAGAAGATTTTACAAAGAGCTATATCAGAAGAAGGAAGCAGACAGGAAGAAGATGAAGGATTTCTTGGAAGAGATTGAAGAGAAAGTAGAGGAAGCAAAGAAGATGGAAGAATAGATGAGCTTAATGGAAATGGAGGAGTGTTTAGAAACCTTTAAAAGAGGGAAATCGCCAGGAGCAGACAGACGGTGTATAGAATTTTACGTGAAGTTTTGGGCATGGATATAGTGAAAGCGTTCAAGGAAATGGTGGACACAAAAAAAGCAGAGAGAGATTTTACA